TATGTTTTTGCATACGGAAAAAGACGATTTTCAGTATCTAGTATACGGAAATATTTACGAATTTATTATACTGTTTTGCTACGTTTATTATACGTTTTTTAAACGTATTATTTCCGTATACTTTCCTTATACATATTATTTATAGGGTTAATAGTATGCAATTTAATATAACTTATCATTTATTATTCACTTATTATATTTTAAAACAACAGAATATTCATACAAATAAATGGATACTACAATAATATAATATTGAATCCATGTATACTCTTTGTTATATAAAAGAAAGAAATAATCTAAATTTTTTGCATAACATAAATATAATAATTTCAAGAATAAGAATCCTTTGTTTAAAACTTATGCAATTATTCATGATTTCAAATTATTATCAGTTGATATAAATAAGAAAATACTATTTCAGATATAAACTGTGAAATATAGTTCAAATATTTTAATATCTTATCTTTCTATTCCTTTTAACCAATCATCTTTCAAAGCATCATCTGCAGTTAGTCGATCACAAGGATTTTGATTTAACAATTTATTCCAAAAATTTCTGGCAGAGGAAGAAAGTGAAAAAGTAACTTTAGAAAAAAGGTTTCCAACCATCCAGATATCATTTGCTGTTTAGCATAAATCTTCTCCATCCATATATTCTGGAGCTGCAATATTTAATGCAAGTCTTCAACAATAATTGCAATAATTATTTAGTCAATAATGTTTAACTGCATGCTTAAGTCAATTCAATTAGTCTGTCGCTACTATACCTTAATTCTCCAATTTTAGCAACTTCCTCAAAGTCAATCAATATCCATCTATCATTTATAAGTCTTATAACATTTTCTCAGCGAATATCCCAGTGGACAACTTTCATTTTATGAAGTCTTTTTACAATTTCAAGTATATCAAATATGGCAATTTTCAATTCACCCTCATTTGTAGGAATTTTTTCATATCTAACTGATGCCAATTCTAAATGTACCAAATTTCTAGTAGCTCTGTAATTAAGTTTTTTGTATTGTCCTAAGTGTGGATAAATATTATCATAAAATTTTTTGTGAAAATCTAAATCAGCAATGGAACTTGTGTTTACTTTTTTGATGATTTTTTGGGGAAGTAATATGATGGTACTATTTGTTCTTTGGATTATATCAAATAATTTTACTTTTGGAATTTTTAAATAGTGATGATGATCCAAAGTTTGAAGAATTCAGATAAAATTGATTGTATATTGAAGTGCCATATAATTGTATAATCGATTTTGAGTTCCAAGTGCTAGGAGAGTACCAATTTTTACACATGTTGGTTTATTGCCTATGTTGTTTGCATAATAATAATAAATTGTAATTTTGTGCTAGCTGCTGCAAAAGCCATGATAAAGGGTAATCTACCAAAGGCAAGTGGATTCCAAAAATCAAAGTATTCATCTAAATCTTTTTCTGCATCTTCCAATTGATAACTAACATCTTTCTACTCACCCATCATTATAAGCACTCTATTATAATAGACTGTGACATCTGGTCGAATTCTCTTTTTTCCTGTAGTGGTAGTTGTAGGATTAAATACCTTGTTACGGTTCCAATTCAAGTTACTACAACCAAGAGTATACTCTCGGACAAGATCAATTAGATTCATAATGTGATCATTGATAGTATCTGAAGTATGTGCTTCTTCACTAACCTGTTCTCTAAAGGACCTGCCCATAACATTACCAATAATAGAACATAATCTAGAAGCATAAAAAGGACATGAAAATGCTAAATCAAGTTTATCAGAAAAGTTTTCAGCATAATTAGGAAGAGATGGCAATTTAACTAGTAATAGTTTTGAAAGAAATTGTTCAAGATTGTTACAATTAATTTCTTCATCAAAAGAATGCAAGAGTTCTTCTAGAAATTTTGTTGTATTATCTAAAAAAATAAGTGATGAATAATCATTATGTGAAGGGAAAAAAATTATGTAAAAACATAAGTCCAGAACTTTACCTTCAAGTTTTATCCTTTTATTTGAAAAGCCAAAGGCTAAAAATAATAGGAAAAAAAAATAAAATTAGTAAACAGTATATCAAATAAATAAATGAAATAGAATGAATATAAACAAGACAATTAACATCATATAATACTTACCTTCACCAACTAGATAATGAAAAAGAATGAAATATTTATTGATATGTGAGAATAAGTGAATCAAAAAAGAATTGAAGTTATCAAAGAAAAAAAATATAAAGTTATAAAATAAACAAGGTGAATAGATCAATGAATTAAGTAAATAAACGAAATGGAATGAACGAAAATAAATTTTTTTTTCTTTACGCAATTTGTTCATTACCCTTTTCCTTTCTAAAGTTTATAAATGCATCCTGCAATTTCATCACCTGGTCTCCCCACTTTACCTTCTCTGCCTCCAATGACTTCTTTTCTTCCAACAATCTATCTATCTATCCTTCCCTCCTCTTTTTCTCTGCTTCGTTGAAATTTCTCACAAATAATTCTTCCTCCAACTCGTTTAACTTCTCTCCTTTATACTTCACTTTTTCCCACTTTTCCAGCTTCTTTGTTGTCTCATCTAATCTTGCTTCTGCTTTTGTTAATTCTTGTTTAATTTCTTCTTTTGTTGTCATTTTGTTTAAAAAAAAAAGATTTAAAATTAACTTTTTATTAATTTAGATTGTAATTGTTACAATTAATTGTTTCTATAAATAATTTGGACCAATGATAAATTAGTAGACACATGACTTGCAATTAAAAAATTTTTTTTTAAGGACAAATGAATTAAATGACAAAAGAAAATTATAATTTTATAATTCAACTAATAATAGAAAAATACATAAATGATTCATAAAAATATAAGTTAAAGAATTGTCAGAGCACTTGCATGGGAGGAAAATACTCAGACCCAAAGCCACTGTGAGTATTACCTATTCTTTGGACACTCTGACAAAAATTCAACTTTCACTATTACTATATACTATTTTTATTCTTATAAATAATAATATTATTAATATTTGTATTTTCTTTATTTTCATTATCTTCGTCAACTTCACTCTCCACTTCTTTCTTTTCTTTGTTGACCCTTTCCTGAATTGCTTCTATTGTTTTACTTCTAGGATTGGTTTTTCATTGATAGAAATTTTTTATTGTAGAAGCAGCAATTCCCTTTCCCTCTGCGAATTTCTATAGACATTTCACCAAATGAAAAATCGGGATTCAACCCAGTCTTTTTGTCAAATAACTTTTTGAAATCCTACCATAGATTTTCTATTTCTTGTGAATATTGTTTATCACTAGTAAGTTTGTTTATTTTATTTTTGAATTGGCTTTTTCTTGGTTCTATTTTATCAATTATTTAATCAATTTTTTGATTTATAATATAGAATTGATTTTGCAAGTTTTTAAAAAATGTTATTATGGATGAAAATATTTATTGATTATTTGTTTGTTTTTTAAACTAAAATAAAAATTGTTTAATGATGATGATGATTATTAAAAGGATTTGTTATTTGAATTTTTTATCTAAAAATTAAGTGAATTGGTAATGTTTTTATAATATTCCAATACAAGATGGAATTATTTACCTTGTTTTAATGTCAATGAGAGAAAAACAAAGATTTATAAACATATTCTTGAATGTAAAATTCGTTCAAATGATTTTTTTTTTATGATGATCATTAATTACGTTTGCATAAAGGAAAATTTTCTTTGTAGTAATAACCAATAAAAAAAATAAATCAATATTGTATTAAGATTATTTTCCTTCTTTTAAAGATCTTTGCTTTTTGTTAGGTAATAATACACCTTTATTCTGTTTTTTTTTCTTAATATTTATTATTTTTCTTTCTTCATGGTAAATTTCATAAGTAATCCTTTCTTTTCTTAGATAAGTTTCCAGTGTTTGAGTATCATTTATTTTGAAAATATAAGGAGCAATTTTTTCACCTTATTTCTTCTTCAAAATACTTCTAATGGTACTATAATTCTTGGGCTCTATTGTAGATCTGATATAAATTAGTTTCATATTAACTATTTTTATATAGGGGTAATTCTGTATATCACTTAAGATAACAAATGGAGGGATTTCTGAAAAATGTGGTTAGGGACCTCTCTGACCAAATTTGAGTTTTTTGCATAATATATATCTATACTATAAAAATTACAACTGGAGAGAAAATCAGGCCATATTTGCTTAATACAATAATGAGATACAAGACTTTGAAAGTTTAATATAAATATCAAAAACATATGTGTAACATAATTTTGAGGGATTGTTACTCAAAAAACTTTATTATACTCCTAATTATATTTTGCTAGAAATTACCTAAATGGGATATTATAAAACTAATAATTTATAATCACATTACAAATGACTAAATTTTGTCCCCTAAAATTCTTGGTAATACCAATGTTCACTTTGTCTGGTTTTGTTGCAACATGTCCCAATTTAAAATTTAACTTTTTAATTATAATAAATTACAAAGTAATTATACAAACAACTTTATTAGAATATAAAAAGAAAGTATATTAAATAAAATTAAAGATGTTTTAAAAAAAAATAGACAAAAAAAAAATTTTTTTTAAATATTTTATTTCGTTTAATTTGATTAGTTGACCCAAATTTTATCAGGTCGGGTTATAAGCTTGACCCAACCTGATGTTGACCTAAAAATTTGTCTACCCAATCTGAATTTTTCAGGTTGGGTCAGGTCAGGTCACAGGTTGACCTGACCTGATTCAGACTTCAATCAAGAGAGTAGGTATACAAATTACAATGGGTTTTGATCTAAAACTATGGTACAAAATATTCAGAAAAGGTGTGTATTGTTTCTTTGTTAGTATTTTTTAATTTTTTTTGTTTTTCTTTTTTCTCCTTTTTAATTCTTCAACCTTTTCTTTTCTGTTTCTTCAAATTATATATGCTCAAATGGATTCGTAAGTACATCAATATAATGAGTATCAATCTTCTTGCCAAAAATTAAATCACAATACCAGATTTTATTTAAAGCTTCTCCTGCATAGCAAAAATTTCAAGCAGCCAATTCTGGATCTATAACTTTCCCTTGCATATTCTAATGTGTACCATAATGGTTAATTAGTAAAGTAATACTGATAAGTTTACTAGATAATGTTGCCATTCCTCTTTCAACCAGATTATATTTTGATTGCTCTAGAGCATGTATTCGTATACTTAAAAATCTAAATCAAACTTTTTGAAAAATTAGCAATAGACCTTTATATTTTTTAAGTGTCTAGGATTCTCATCTGGTCCTTCATCTACTAATAAGATCTATATCAGTAAAATTTTTCTATCATTCTTAATGTGCCTTCATATTGAGAATTCAAGGTAAAACTTTTCAAATCTTGCATATTTGTAAGTGAGGATATTCCAAAAGATCAATGAGAATGAATAAAAATTGCTAACTGGTCTATCCGCAATTTATCATTAGATTCATTTAGATTTATCATCAAATATACTAACGGAATTAATTTCTGTCTGAACCCTTCAGGAAAATTGTGATCTGCTATGGTTGTAGGTTCATTAATAGATTGCAATGTATAGAATATGCGACCTATTGCAGGCACTTCAAGACCAATTTTCGCTTTATCATCTTGAGAGATGACAACTGAAACATCAGCAAAAGTGCTAGCGAATTTCTTTGCATATTTTACTGATGCAAGGCAATAGTAGCTATCAAAATATTCACGCATTTCAGTACGTGAAACTCTAGCAACAGCAACTCATGCCAGATGGTGATATGCTTTTGCAGTAATTGAATTTGCTTGACGATGTAATAAGTAATTATTTAAGGTAGTTCTTACCATATAGATATTATATTTTTCTTCAAGATTCTTGAGTAGATTTTCTATTATCCAGATTTTAATAGCTTCTTTTCGTCATTTTGCATCTGCTGATTCAAATTTTATGTAATCATATATACGGTCATGTAAATCCAGATGCTTGAAGAGAAATAATAGCTTTTCAGGTTTATTATAATAGAAAATTTTCTGATTTTTGATAAGTAGTTTTAGTTTTTTTCTCTGCAATTTTGAGTATATTTAGCATTTCTTTTTAACTTGGTAATTTTATCTTTATTAGATTTAATTTCATTCTGCAAGTTTTCTATTTTTTGATATATGTCATTATGAATTTGAGTATCACTGGTGATATTGTAAATTTGCTCAAATTCGTGAAGCTTTTTTTAGCTATTTGGACTGCATCTGTTACTTTTCTTTGAGCCAATGCATTTGTAGGAATTTCTGATAAGATATTTACTGAATGAATGGTAGAAAGTAAAGAATTTAGTTTTTCTATAGGTATTGTGAATACAGAACACTTGTATCTCATTGATTGTACACTCCTGACTAAAAAGTTTAGGACCACCCTTGTGATTTGCAAATAATCTGCAATAAATGAATTACTATGTGTTTATGCAATTTAAAATTTGTGCTACATAATAATCAATAATTAATTTACGTTATATATATATTTTTTTATTTTTTTATTTTTATTTTTCATAAAAATGGTTAAAAATAGAGAATTTACGGACTTTGAATATGAAAAGGTTATCAGTTTTTATGAAGCTAGTGACTCAAAAAGAGCCATTTCAAAAGAACGGGCTTTGGAAAAACCACTATTCATAATATTATAGCAAAGTATAAAAAAACAGGTGCTGTTAGTATTGCTCTAAGAAGTGGAAAGCTAAAAATATTAACTGAAAGAAACAAATGACATCTTAAAACTATTATTATTCAAAATCAACATGAATCAGTAAATAAAATAGTAAATATTTTTGCTGAATCTACAGGAAAAGTAATATGTAAGAATTAAAGATAGGCACTATAATTAAGAAGTTGCAATTCGGTAAGTTACAACTTGAATTGCAACTTGATTGCAACTCCTTGTAAATTTATTTTAATATAAAAATTCATAAAATATTGCAACTCAAAGTGTTGCAACTTAAGTTGCAACTAGCTAAAAATTTTAAAAATAATTATGGGAATCATCTTTAATTATAACTATTATTATTATTGTTATTATTATATTTACTATTATTATTTTGAGAAGTGGTATTAGTTCTGGCCAACAATTGCTTAAATTCTTTGAGTATTTTCTTATTATTCTTCTTAATTTGTTGTTGCAAATTAACTGGGTTCTCTTCAACTATTTTAATACTTTGATTTAAATATGTTTTGCTCAAAGAGTATACTGATAATGTAGTATCTTTTAATAAGATTACTTCAATAGATCGATAGCTTTTTCTATATCATGTGATGTTATAGCGACAATAGCAGTTTAAAACTCAGAATTAGTGTTTTGCATAGATCAGATCAGATTAGATTTGGGCAAAATCCGATACGATCTGAATCTGAAAAATCTGAATCCAATTTGATTTGAATCTGACAAATCTGAATCTGTATCTGAATCTGTATCTGTATCTGATGGATCAAAAAATTTTTTTAACAAAAATCTGCCTTCGCCATTCAAAACAGCGTTTTAATATTAAAAAAACAACAATTTTGTTTTTTAACAAAAATCCGTCTCTGACATTCAGATCAGCATTTTATTATTAAAAATTAAATTTTTAATGTCATGTCTGACTTTTGGAATGGCATTTTGTTATTAAAAATTAATAAAAAATTAATAAAAAATTAATAAATGCTATGTCCGTCTTTTAGGATAGCATTTTAATATAAAATATCAATAAAATCAATTTTATTATTAATAAATACCATGTCTGACTTTTGGGGTGGCATTTTTATATAAAAAATTAATAAAAATTAATTTTTTTATTAATAAATGTTGCGTTAAACTTTTGGGCGGTATTTAAATATTAAAAATTATTAAAAATGAAATTTTTAATAATAAATGTCACATCTGACTTTTGGGACGACATTTTAATATAAAACTTTAATTTTTTAATAATAAATGCTGCCTCTGACTTTCGGGACGGCATTTTGTTATTAAAAATTAATAAAAAATTAATTTTTATTAATAAATGCTGCATCTGACTATTAGGGCAGCATTTAATTATTAAAATTTAACTTTTTTAATAATAAATGCTGTGTCCAACTTTTAAGATGGCATTTTGTTATTAAAAATTAATTTTTATTAAATTTTTATTAATAAATGCTGTATCTGACATTCTGGGCGGCATTTTATTATTAAAAATTAAATTTTTTTAATAATAAATGCTGTATCTGACTTTCAGGTGGTATTTTATTATTAAAAATTAAATTTTTTTAATAATAAATACTGTGTTCGACTTCAGGGCGGCATTTTTTATTTCAAATCTAACAAATCAGATCTGAATCTAAATCTGAATCTGGCGGATCAAATTTAAATCCGAATCTATCAGATTGAATCAGATTTTTTACAAAATACTACTCAGAATGCAGTCCTTGAAGAAACTATTCAATTTTTCTTATCTTCTGAAGTGTTATGATATAGATCTAATTTTAAAATTAATGATTCTATTTCAACAACATATTCTTTGACAGATTATCCTGATCTTTATTTGCAATGTCAGAGAGCTAATCTTTATTGGGTTTGCCAATGAGTAATATTGTGATATTTAACAAATTGATATATAAAGGAACGATGTTTCCTTTGTCAATCTTTATTATTATTCTAATAGTGAATATCTTTTTCATATTTAGCTTTATTGTATCAAGTGAATGCAGATCCTTTAAGAAAAGATGGTATAAAAGTTAAATGTTTATGATCAAAAATACTATTCGCTTCACATGCATTATTATATTTATCGAGCCAATCCTGAGAATCCTGGTTTTTGCTTTTACAGCTAATTTCATAATTTATTGACCACTAATAAATTGTGACTGAATGTGACTGAAAATATTTTATAATAAAATTATCATAAAATATTGCGACTGAATGTGACTGAAAAATTATTAATGGTCCATAAATTATGAAATTAGCTGTAAAAGAAAAAAGATTCACAAATTTGCCTTTACATTATCCACCAAATCCAATATTTTTAAAAATAGTTGTAAGTCCTTACATCATTTGAAAAGGTCATGTTGACTTTGATTGGTTGTATTATTTTCATTGAAATATCATCTTCAGATTAATTACCGTCAGAACTATTATACTTAGATTCAGAGTTAGAAGATGAATCATAATATGAAAGGAATAATAGCTTCTCCTCTTTTTGTCTGACTTTTTCTTTTCTGGTTGATTTTGAGATAGAATTAACTCTGATTTAAACGAGCAGAATTTATTGAAATTCTTTTGACTGGATGTTGATCCTTATTTTTTTGATTTAGAAGAAGTTAGACCAGATTGCCTAGTTTCAGAAAAAGATTTGTTAGATTATTCAGTACCAGAAGGTGGTTAAATTGGTTTGTCCTGTTTCAGAAGGAAGTTTTTTAGTTAGTTTTATATACTAATTGATTGATATATCAAAGTAGAAATTTACTCTAATAAATTTATGTTTAATTAAAAATTTACACTGTTTTAAATATTTTTTAGGTTATGTATTTGATATTTATAGGACTTCTATTTCTTATGAAACTATTGAATGTTTATATACTTTGTCATCTGAAAATAATATTAAATAAGTAATCCATATTGAATAAAGCAATAGTATTGGTAAATTATTATGAGATTAATAATCATAATTTAATTTCAATTTAACAACAGATTTCTTGTATTGAAACTTCTTAAGATAATATAAATGCTTTAGAAATAATTAATAATGAAATCAAGATTCTGGTATAAAATTAGTTTGTTTGTTAATTTAAATATTTATTAAATCTTTTATTTTAGAATAGAATTACAAATAGAATATGAAAAGATTGGGGCTATTGCATTTGAGGTTTCTTAGATTTTATTGAATAAATCTGATGATAATAAAGAAATCACAGATGAAAATGAAATAACAAATTTTTTAACAAAATTTTCAGATTTATAAATATCCTTAATCAGAAACCAATTTCACAAAGACAATTCGAAAAGTTTTATCCATTTTTTACACTTATGAGATTTTTATATTCCAAAATCTTACTTGCTCACAGCTAATGTTCTTCCTTTAACCCTCAATGGATATTTTAATCATTTATTCTGACAAAAAAATTTGTATGAAAAGTGATGTGAATTCTTGGATCATCTATTTTATAAAATTTATTCAAATTTTTATAATAATCTTTGGACTAATACATGTACATGTGAAATTAGTTGGTCATATTCCAGCAAAATAAGTCTTAATTATTTTAATTTACCTCCTTTTATGATTCTCAAGATTCTTTTTGATATCATATCTTACTTAAATAAAAATATTGTAGAATATTATGATAATAAAACATTCTTTTATTATAAATGATTTTTATGGTACCTTTGGTTTGCATAATTAATAAAATCATGTGGTTCTTGATCATATGATTTTTTCAAATTTTGGCGATTAGGAGTTTTCCTGAAGAGCAATGTATAAATTTCACAACTAGACATGCTTAATATAAAGAATTGATTTGAATCTTAATTTTTTCTATTTATTTTAGCAAATATATGACAATTTACTTTCTTAATTTATTTTATATTTTAAAAAATCAAATTTAAAAACCAATTGACGTATAGAAATTTTAACACGTCAAGTTATATTATCGACTCCCATTTAAGGAAATAGCATGATAGCTCCGAGACCAATTTTTTTTTATTATTAAATTATACGTGATAAAATATACTAACAAAAAAATTAAAAATTCGAAATGATCTTTGTTTACCATCCAACCAAGTCTTTAAAAAACAAATCATTAGATAATACTGAACTAACATCACTTTCGATTCCATTAAAATCAACTAAAGAATCAAGATCTTTACTAGGATCTAATACCAACATTGAAGATGATAAGAGATCATAAGCAATATTCATTAATATAGTAGGTGAAGGACTTGATATACCTTTAATTTCACATATCTTGTTATATTTTCTTATTACCTATATATTAAAGATATTTTCAATAAAATTTACGTTATAAAAATTATATATTGAATACCATTACTTACATCCTTTAACTCGATTTCAAATTTTCCATTTTTCTTCAATAATAATAAGGCATAAAGAAATACTTTAACTTGTAGAGAACTTCTACTAATATATTTCTTCCATGGGGTATTGGTTTTTCTTATAGCCTCTAGAACCATTTGTATAGTAACACGACTATTCCCCGATACTAATTTATTTTTTACTTGTGTCTCAAGAACTCCTACTGCATATCTAAAATAAAGAGGGGCAGAATATTAATTCTTAATATTTGTTTCATTTCGAATAGTTTAAAGTAATTACCTGCAAATAAACAGAGCATTTCTTGCATCTTGTGAAATAGCGCTCACTTTTCTTGCAGTAAATTCAACAGCTTCCTTTGCAAATATATCAATATTTTCAAGCCGAGATTTCAAAATTATAAAAAGTTGTTCATGAGTATACGGTTCAAAATCCAATCTTTCCAGCCCTAAAAATAAAATAGTTAATATATATAATGGAATTCACAATAATATAGAATATTGATAATAACCAAATTTGCTTTCTTGACTTTTAGATAATAATGAGTGTGGTAATCGAATTTCATTCGTCAAAGCAATCAAGACGAATCCAGAATTTGGTAAAGCCGTCCATTCCAAAAGATTACTAAATACAATACTTTTTTTGGTGATGAGTGAGTCAAATTCATCTATCATGAATACACTTTTCAACCAAAAAAAAAATTATTCGATAGAACATGTCGCGTTAATAAATAAATGTTGAGAATATACCATTTTTTTTTTTAAAAAAAAAAGATTTACTAACATTGAAACTCGTTGATCTTTATCATGAAATGTTTCATTCAATAAAGATTCTGCGTCTTTATAAGAAATTCGATCACCGGTTAAACCCTCCCATAAGACACTATATACTTTTTCGGGAGGTTTAACTTCCATACCATTAATTTCAACAAATTCAAAAGAATTCAATTCCTATTTTGATTAAACAAATCAATTCAACCGATATAGCAAGTTTCCGAACGAAAAATAAACAAACTTACTCTTCTAAAAGCTTTTTCATTTAAATTTTTAATAACTTGTCGTACAGTAGCAGTTTTACCAGTGCCAGGTTGACCAGATATAAAAATACGACGTCCTTTAAATTCATCAATTGATTCTTTAATTTTATCATAAACTTTACCGTATTCTTTTTCACGACAAGGAAAATTTACAGGAACTTCTTCAAGTCTTAATTTCTCTCTTGCAATATCATATCTTGATAAAGGTTTACTTGTAGGTTTAATCCGATTATTGATATTTGATGATAAACGACCTGATCTTTTTCTATTTAAAGATGTATTAGATATATATACATATAATGATAGAAAGAAATAACCGTTTAAAATATTTACCTTATTGAGGGTGGTGTAACTATTTGTTCAAAAGCTTGTGAATCCGGTAGTTTGTTCTTTTTAGGAGTAATTAGCACGGTAACGATCGGGTATGATTTATGCGTTATATCCTCATCAGTGTCTTCTTCAGTACAAGTTGAAACTGTGATTCTTTTATTGCGTTTTGGAGTGATATCTGCAACACTTTTTATGCTCTTATTACGCTTTGGAGTGCTAAAAGTAGCGCTTTTATTACTTCTATTATTTCGTCTAGGTGTAAAAAGAACGCGTCTTTTCCTTTTAGGTGTGCTTTTTTCTTCATATAATTCGTCCTCGAGATCCGTTTCTTCTTCTAATTCATATTCTTCTTCATTGCTTTCACTCCTTTTATTTCTTGGCATAGTAATTCGCATGTGTTTTAAATATGATATACAATTTACCCTCCTATTTATTTATGTATTGTGAAAGAATTTTAAAGCAAAGTATTATTAAAGTTTAGGATTTAGTAAAATTCAAAAGTGGAACATCATTTAGCTTGACGCGTTTAAAGTTTCGGAAATTTTAGGTAAAATAAACCGTTATTGGGTATCTCAATGTAATCACATGGCAAATTTACAAATAAAATAAATAATATTTTTTTTATCCCTCTCTATTCACCGAAAAGTTTAATATTAAAGCTAAAGTGAGAATAAAGGCAAAAAAAACAAATAGTACATTACTACATCAATAAAATAAAAAAAAAACTATAATATAGGGTAATAAAATTAAAATTATTATATATATATATATATATATTTTTTTTTTTTTTTTTAACAACATTTGCCAGTCGTTTGCTTTTCATCAGGCATGGAAGTGACTTGAATAGTTTCTCCAGCAGTTGGCTTAGTAACATCTCCAGTATTGTTTTCCAAAGCTTTATTCGAAACAATACGGTATATTTCTATTAAATAAAAAAAAAATTTTTATGTAAATATATTTGATTCTACTATATGATAAATATAAAGATTGTTAGCAGTTTTACCAGTCAAGATGTTTTGAAAAGCGAGTTCTACATTACTGGCATCCAATGCAGAAGTTTCAATGAATGACAAGTTGTTTTCAGCTAATATCAAAGAGCACAATGAATGATTAATTTCAAATTTACAAAACACCAACTAGCTCATTAAATACACTTTACCAGCAAACTGTTTAGCTTCTTCAGTCGGTACAGCTCTCAAATGCCTTAAATCACTTTTGTTACCAACAAGCATAATAACAATATTACTATCAGCATGATCTCTTAGTTCCTTTAACCAACGATTAACATTTTCATAAGTAACATGTTTAGCGATATCGTAAACGAGTAAAGCACCAACTGCTCCGCGATAATACCTGTTGTTATTAACAATAAGATAATTCGATTATTTATTTATCCTCGAGTTTAACTTAATTGAAAACATTAAGTTTTGGAATACTTACGCGCTTGTAATAGCTCGATAACGCTCTTGTCCAGCTAATAAATAAAATTTAATAGAAGATTTCAATATATAATTTATTTGAATATGAAAAACAATTTAATAGATTATTAGTTACCAGTATCCCATATTTGGGCTTTAACGGTCTTGTTATCTACTGGAATACTTCTGGTAGCAAATTCAACACCAATCGTTGACTTTGACTCTAAATTGAACTCATTACGTGTGAAACGCGAAAGAAGATTGGATTTACCAACCCCCGAGTCTCCAATTAAGACAACTATTAAAAAAAAATATTAAAACATTTTAATATTTTCATATTCTACTTAAAAAAAGAAAATTACCATCTGAACTCCTATTACTCCATAAACATAATAAAACTATTTATTTAATTACAACATGCTAATGTTCAAATATTAACAACTCAGATGACAGGTCATTTTTATTTGTAAATTTGTTCAGTAGTAACTCGACTTACTCGAGAAAAAAAAACAAAAGTACTTACCTTTAAAAAGGTAATCATATTCGTCGTCTTTACTCATCTTTTATGAATGAACTGTGCAATTATATATAGAGCTAATAATTGTCTTTACAAGTAAATGAAACTTCGTTACAAAAGATATTTCACGTTAAACGTAAAGATACAAAAATAGTAGCTTAAGAGGCTGAATTGCTTAAAAAGTTTCAAATTTATATCATTACCTAGTTAAGATTAGATTGTGGTTTGTACTTTAGAAACACGACATTTGAACACAATTTGTGTAAAAAATTAATAAAATTACAGATTTTTAAACTTTAATATAACTTTAAATTATTACATCGCATTTATATATCTACATTATTACATATATATTTATTACTAGTATTATTTTTTTATTGATTTAATGTAGCTTGGCAATTCTTCTTGAATTTTTTTGTAAATATAATACCGTTCAGTAAGACGTTTAAATTGATTAAGAAGTTTATTTGCTGCCAAAGGAATTTCGGTTCCTGATTCATTATAATTTGTCGCATTCCAATGTATTAAATCAATGTCTGCCTTGATCGCCTAAAGTGTATGAGGTTTAATAAATATAAGAAAAGGTACAATGTTATACAAAGAAGTTTTATAATTACCCTTAAAGAGCGATACCAATTGTTATGTATACGTGCTTCAATCATTCGAAGGCACATCGGATATGGAATTTTTGGAAGGTAATCAACTACTTCAGTGAAATTGACATGATTTACAAACCATTCGAAATCAACTTCGTTAATAAGTTCAGAAATAATATTGCTCATGGTCATTTTATCTACAAATAAATAAAATAAAAATGTTATAAAATATTGAGGGAAATAAATGAGAACACGAGAGTAATATTTTTATTATACCTTCTTCTCCATAAGTTTGATTATCGACCAAATCTTGTTCATTTTCACGTTTCAATTCCCAGCTATGTAATGTGTCTTGAGTATTTTCTGGATCATTAGGTTCATCCCTAAACATTAATTTGTATTTTTAATTTTGAATTACCGTATGTAATTTAAGAAATAATACAAATGATAAATAATAAGCTTACCAATTAACTGTGTAAGTTTGCCATGGAGACCAGTCGTTAAATGTTTTATTTCTGTTTATTTGAACAATAGTACCAGAATATGGTGTATTATCGTATGTAGCAAACACTTTCTCGTCAATTCTTAGTCTTTTATTAAGACCTGCTGCTACCCGATCATAAAGTACAATAAAGTCTCCCATATTCATATAATCGTAATAGTATATAATAGCTTTGGATGTGGCTCTTCTATCAAACATGGGATCAATCGGCAAAAGTTGTTTATTGTTTTGATAATCTTGAAGATTCAATGTTTTTGCTGTAATCTTTACAAAAGGTTTATTTTTATCTCCTCGAGTCCATTCAATATCTTCAATGAGACAATATAAGATATTGTCTCTAGCTTTTTTATAAGTTGACGCCCTATTCCACGCATGATCCTTATGAAGCGTTGGATCACCAGGTCCCAAAGTTTGAAGTAAAATAGAATTGTCTGAATCATGAAAACACCTTCGAAGCATTTCTTTATGCCCGTTTAAGAAATAAATAATAACGTCCCCAATTTGAGGGTGATACGGAGAAGCTTGTGGTCTAATCATTCGAATCCATTCTGGACGAGTATCGTCATCTGGGTCTGCAGTATCCATTGAATCTGAAAGTATCGTCCTAACTTGACCCGAAACTTGACTCGAAACACCCACTACCACTTTCTCATAATCTTGTTCAATATCGTCTTCCATAAAACTTTCATCATCACCTCCATAATTTCCATGTGTATCTTCACAAGGAGACACTTCATGTTGTGACGAGGATACAACATAAGGAGAATCAACATTATTTTGCGATTCTTCTTGTTCTGAATCCTCTTGATATTCCGAACCGCTTGGTGATTTTGGTGATCTAGCACGTCTACTACCTGTTTCAAATGAAGCGTGATCATTTTCAATAAAGCTATCTTCTTCTGAAGAAGTCGTTTCGCTTTCTCCATAATTTATACGTCTTTTGACACGTCTCAAAGGACGTGAACTTGGACCTGCAATACCGTAGTCATTGTTACTTGGTTCAACATACTCATCATTTTCGCCGCCATCAGATAATTCGACACGAGAACGTTTCCTTTTCTTCTTATTTTTATGATTGGTACTCGACACACCGGCTGCAGCAAGACGTCTGTCTTTCTGCGCCTTTTTTTCGGCTTTCTTTTGTCTTCTTGTCTTGACTCCATAATCACTGTCCATATCGGGAGAATTTACGACGGATATAGGAATTGCATCAAGTTCCATAAAGTCGGTTTCTTCGGTGCTATCAGGGGTTCCTTCACGATCAGAAAGACCAGGAATATAATCTTCATCATCGCTATCGTCTTGTAATGGGAAGCTTGTTTCGTCAAGTAAAACGGGGTCAACATACTCGTACTCATCTTCAATGATAATTCTTCTCCTTCGTTTAGTCACATCTTTCTTGTCCATAATATGTTTGACGAGACTACCATACTTGATTTCTTCGACCTCTTCAACGAGAACATCCCTCTTCCAATTATCTTCTTGCCATTCTTGAACCTCAGGAATGCCAGTACTAATGGCCTTGACTAATTAAAAAAAATTAAGTAAATACATGATGATATTAACAAGTAATCACGATGTTCTAATTTAACGTACGATGACTTTGTGTGGTTTGTTTGAGATAAGGAGCACCTCCCCAATTTACTACTTCACGAGAAATACTTGAATTCTGCGGAATCCCTGAGTTAACGTTAACTAAAACTCTATTTTCTTCATCAAAAGTATATTCCTCGTAGTCATCATAGTCGCTTCTGAATTTTTGCCCATGAATAGCTCGATCATGGAACATTTCATATGATGCGGTTTGGTCGATACCAATTAAATGGCATTTACCGGCATTGTCGGTGACTGCAAACATGGATCCTAAAATTGTAATCAAAAGTATTTATTAATAAGTTAAAATAAATAACAAACCTTATATATTCGTGGTATGATAAATTACTTGCCATCATCTCTGAATTTGCCATCATGAAACTTAAGATCTAAATTTTCATCAATAAACTTTAGACTCGAACGATCCCATGCTGAATAAAAGGGGAAGTAAATAGTTAGCAAAAGTAAATAAACAATTGCTATAAAATTTAAAAGTATTTATACTTTTGACATTTCTGCCATCTTGTATATCCCACATCGAAATCTTGCCATCATATCCTGCTGACATTATGGTACGCCAATCATGAGGATGTATATCCAGTACATAGAGATCGTTCGAATGGGCATGAATTTCAATCTTGAGTTCACCATTTTGAGAATCATATACTCGGATATGTCCTTTATTGTCTCCAAGTACAACAAGTGCATCATCAGCACTCCAGCGCATTGCAGTGACTCTGCAATCAGATTCTGGCGACTTATCGGAGACGACCAATGTAATGGAAATCCATTGCTGTTTTAAATAATTGTATCGCCAAATACGAGCAGTACCATCATCGGATCCTGATAAAAGACGATTATCTCCATGAGCAAATTCAAGACTGTTCACAGTTCTGACGTGTCCGTCCAAATCTGATATATGAAAAGGACCGAATAATTTGGAAACGTCATTCTTTTTATTGTCTTTTTTATTCTTTTGTCCCGCGTTTGGGTTCGAAATTTCATGATTTGTAGAACTTTTATTGTCCTCCTCCGTTTTATTTACTGAATGTCTCTTTTCTTCTACCTGATGTGTCTTAGTCTGAATGGGTTGAAGCACCTCTTGAGAACGAATTGGGGAATGAGCCGGAGAAATAACTATATTTTGTGACGGCACGTTACTTTGTTGTTCATTAGATGGTGGTGACATCGGACCGAAGCTGAAATTACTGCCAACACTATATGTATCCTCATCACTGTCAGTATCTGCAGTATTGTTCTGTAATGTGGAACTTGCACCCAAAGTCGTTATTGGTGAAGCCGAAATATTTGTATATCCGACATTTATAGGAGATGCGATGATATTTGACTCTGTGTATCTAGGAGAGCCAGGAAACAATGTTTTCTCCTGGTTGTGTTCCGAACAAACCGAAATACGACGAACAGAAATGGAATTTTTGCGCTTATTCTCTTGTTTTTCTTCGCCTTTTTCTTCGCGGGACACGAAAGGGCGGGGCATTACGACGTCCAGAATATCGATTTCTTCTTCGTCTTCATCTGATTTCCCTTTTTCGCCACTTTCTAAAACATTAGCTTCACTGCCCCCTTCTTTTTCTTCTTCGATAACCTTAGAATCTTCGAGGGTGATCGTTGAGAAGACTCGAATTAAACCGTCTGTCCCCGAAACGGCGAAAAGTGAGCCAGTGTGATTGAATGCAGAACACTTCATTCGTACTCTGCCGACAGCGTTAGTGGGCTTGATTTTATTTAATTCGCCAAAAGAGGTAGTGCTTTTTATACGTTCGTATTTTGCAAGCCACGTATACCAGTTATCGGAAGTGGTAAGAATATACCTGTTTTCGATCAACGGACTTGGAGAGAACGCAATGGATGTAACTGCGTCATCCTAATTATTAACAAGAAAAAGATTTTATAAAAAATGCTAAAGAAAAAATAAAAATAGATTTTATATTGTAAATTACCATTCTCAAACAATTGACGACTTGATATTTTTCCAGGTCCCAAACCAAAACTGTAGTATCCTCCGACGCCGTTGCTAAAAGGTAACCATCTTTGCTAATGGCCATATCCGAAATCACTGACCTATGTCCCTGGAGGGATCTCAACAAAACACCAGTACCCGTACACCACACCTTAGCGAGTCGGTCATCGCTTCCCTATATATAATAAACAATTAATGTATAATTTAAAAATAATAATAATAAAATAATTTCATCATACCGTGATGACTCGCTTCCCTGTTCTGTCAAACAGGACACAGTATGTGGTGGTATTGTGGCCATCCAACGTGGTTAGCTAATAAACAAATTAAAGATAAAATCTAATAAAAAGAATTCAGAACCAAATTCATTACAAAAAACATACCTGCTTATAATCGTTATATATGACCCTTATTGGTTGCGAGCTCTTAATCCTACCTCCACCTAGTTCGCGGGAGACGACAGCAGCGGCTATTACATAAAAAAATTATTAATAAATAAATAAATATATATATAATGAATACAAATTAAAAAATTTCTGACCAGGATTTTGATCTACAAGGCCAGCAAGAAATCTTGAAGGTGCATGCTGTGCTAAGCCTAGCCTCGCCCGTCGAGCATCTATTTCTGGACATTTGGACGTTTCGGATTGGTATAAATTTTCTCTTAATTTTCCGACATTTAATGGTCGACATGGTAAACGTACCTATATGTATATCACGTGACCAAATCATGTGATTATAAGTCATGTGGAATGAGTCATTTTAAACGACGTTCATGAAAGAATTTATAAAAAAATGTTTCTTCGCCACGTGACATCCGGAAGAAGCCAAAAAAAAATAAAATATAAAAATACAAGAAAGAATTAAATGAATTACTCACCAGTTCGTCGTAGGTTTGCAAATGAGTATTTCCTTCGAAATCAGTTCTAAGGGGAAGCAGCTCTGGGTGGTCTGTCAAATCTTTTACCAAGGCCTGATGTGCCCTTTGTGTTTGCGGGAATTTTTGGAGGAATCGCGCAACTTGGAACATAGCCTCTGCAAGATGTTTAAAAAAGAAAAGGTGTGAAAAAATATGTTAATACGTGCAAGATGAAAGAATATGTATAATAAATAAAAAATAATGTTAATTGTCGCGCTATAAAGAAGTTAAAATGTAATAAAAGTAAGAAGCGAAACGCTTTGAAAATGTTAACGAAATCGAAAACAAAAGTGAAGCCCATGTACAATAATTTTGAAAGCGAAGTAAGCAAAACAATATCATTATGTTGTATAGAATATATTAAGTGTGTATGATTATATCACATACTTATATATATACATACATATATATATATTGTTGTCTATGAAGACTCGAACCATTTGTTGAATCTCATTCAGGGATGTTTTGGATTTGTAGTTTATCATTTTTTTTTTTTCAAATTAACAACATAATAAATACATACCACGTTCGAGGTTTGTAAATTCATTTTTAACGTTAAAATGTTGTTGTTCGCTCATTTTGGTTTATAGATTCTTCCAAAGGTACTTTATGTGTTATTTATATAATAAAATAAACGACGTTGAAAAAATATGAAAAAAGTTTTTTTACGAAAATCTTGATAAACTTGTTATATAAACCACAAATTTCGATTTTTTAGCCGGGATCTTCCTCGCTTAATGAAAAACATACCAAATACGCGGTGAAATATCCGATAAAATATAACTTTTGTTTTTACTATAAAATTTGCAATAAAGCTATTTTTTTTATTATATAAAAACAATTATCCTATATAATATAAAAAAATAATAATTGAATTTATAAGTTATTACATAAATAGAATAAAATTTCAGAATAGATTTAATTCTTGTTATATGATATTTTAGTATTTATTTATTACTTTAGATATTAAATTAATATTGCATCATATAACTTTTTAACTTACTTTAATTAATTCTATAATATTAAAATTTTATATTATACTGCTTATTTTAATAACTATAAAAGCATAAAAAATATAAAGTATCTAAATGTTTATAAATCATTTTATAAGCTTATTCATAAATTATATTTCATAATATATTTTGGATAATAATTATATTAATTAAGAATTTATTAATATGCAATTATAGTAATTAATTAAATTTATTTAAAAAAATATAATTAACAAAATTAATTATAGAAGTAATTATTTTAAATTATTTTGTTAATATCAAAAATCATAAATACATATTATTTTCTACTTTTTACTTTTTTAAACAATACATAGGCTAATAGAAGTTCATTTTAGTTTTGTATTTACAGAAGTATTAAATCAAAGAATTTTACCTAATAAGACACTAAGACGCTATGAAATAATCATCTATTTACATAACTTAATTATTGTTACTTAAGAATAAGTCTTATATGTTTAATTGCATTTATTACTATAATAATATTATAATTTTATACTAATAATTCCCTTTTAATTTAGATAACTCATTCTATAGTTTAGATATTGCATAATTATAAATTAATCAGAATTAGCCTAATCACCTATTTTTTTCTTCATTTCACACTTTTCAATATTAGCTAAACTAATTACTATTATTATAACCTTATATATCTCTTTAAATAATTCCTTTTAATAATTTGTATAAATTTCCAAAATATTATTACAATATATCAAAAAAATAGTAGCTATTAGACAAGCAATATATTTTAATAATCCTATTTATAAAATATCTTACCATATAATTTGGTTAATCTCTTTTGTCTCAATTGATTACAGATATATTCAGCTTTAATTCATAAAAGTCAAAATATATAATAATAATGAATTTAATAATAAGGTTATCAACTTAGCCAAATTTACATAGGTATTTACACTCTTTAATAACAAGATATTTGTATCAGATACTTCTTATAATATTGTTATAGTCAGTTTTTTAATAATACTTAAACATTATAAGCGAACAGATATTATAAGTGATAAGCAGAAGGTTTAATTTATAATTGGTATGAATAAAGTATATATATTAATAGTTTATTTAATATGAAATAATAAATAAGTATTATCTCAACATTAACACTCTATACTATACAAATGTTTTTAATAAATCAAACTAAACTATTCAATAACTTTAACTTGATTTATCTTTCAAATACTAAAGATCCTTAGTTATATTTATATAAAATAAAATATATATATTGATCATGAAATTAAATAAATAAATTTAATAAAATAAATATAATAAATAAATTAAATAAATAATATATTATAAATAAACTAAAGATATTGATATTATTTGATAATTAACATTAGCTAAATCATCCAAATGATTTTTATATAATAATATAATTAGTGATGCAGACTTTTATATAGAGTAGTTATCTCATATATGTAGTGTCTATTGCATAATAATATTTTACTTTTTGATTAAATGACACATATGATGTCTAACATTTCCTTGACATTAGACATGATCTTTGATGTGTCTTTAATGTCTTTAATATAACCTATATATGTATTAGTATACTTTGATATATTATTATTTATTATTAAAACTTAGTTTATTATTTTTATTAAATGATATATATTTATTAAATGAAAAAGTTTTAGCAAAATATAAAAAAAAAATAAAACAAATTTTAAAAAATACAAAAAAGAAAATAAAAAAATATTTGTTAATTAAAAAATCAAAAAAAAAATTGTAAATAAAAAAAAAAAACTAAAAGAAATATAAAATAAAAACTAAATACAAAAAAAAAACTTAAAATAAATACAAAAAATATTGTTTGAATTGCAAAAAAAAAATAACAAGAGAAAAAAAATTTGTAATACAAAAAAAAATTTCAAAAAAAACTATCACATTACAAAATTTAATTAACTACTCTAAAATTATAAAAATTTAAATAAAATTAATAAAATCGTTAAATTTTTACTTTATTTTTTTTTTTTTACTTTAATATTTGTACTTCGTACTTGATCAAATTTATTAGCTAAATTTAATAAATATTAATTAAAGATTTAATAAAACGTGAAATTTAAATAAATTATTTATTAATTAAAATTCTTATTTAGTTTTAACCAAAAATGAGATTGAAACTCATTAAAATAAATCTTTCCAGTCCTAGGACTCTTCTTTGAAGATTCTGCTATATATACACATATTGTTTATAATAAAAAAACTAAATGTTAGTAATTACTTTTTATCAATAATAATATTATCAATATTAATAAAAAATTTATTTACATTATAACCTTTGATAAGCCTTTTAAATTTTTGACTTTCTATATAATTTATTTTACAATTTTCATTAAGTTTTTCGCTATATCTTCCTATTCCTTAAATTGTCTAGCAGGCAAATTTGCCTGCGAAATTAAAAAAAATTGTTAATTTTTTTATAAAATATTAAATATTAATTTTAGTAATATTATTACTATATAAAAAATA